GCCCAGAGCGCCATTTCCGCGCCGCGAGCTCGGCGAGGCCTCTTCCCACAGGACTGCGGGGTTGCCTAGCAATCCGACAGCACTCTGCCTCGGCAGGACCGGCTGGGATGGATTTTTCCTATTTTTAATTTGTTTTCTGGGCGGGTATTATTGTGCAAGCTCAGGCTGAGCTCAAAGATATGGCGTGCGTCCCACTCGGAGCAAGTAGGGCCGAGAAGGAGGGGGGATCCACCGGGCCCCGGATGGGCCACGGCGTCTGTGGTAGGAGGTGCCGCGGACCCTCTGCTCTGTCTGTCCGTCTGCTCACACCTGCCCAGGCTCTCCAGGCCGCTGTGGGATCCCGCGGCCCAAGGGGAGTGAAGTGCGGCCCTGCGGCTGCGGGCCCTGCACTGCCCGGCTCTCCCGCTGACCTTTCCCATCCTCGTGGGAGGGGACAGGGGACGCTTTGCGAGCCGTTAGTTCACCCTCCTCTCCAGGAGATAAATGTCAGGACGGCCAGCAACCGGGACCGACACGGAGCTGCTCGCTCTTCAATCAAAGATCACGTCTGGGCTTGTGTGTGACAGGGCAGACGTGTGACATCTCCCCGGTGGGCGATGCGGGTGTGCAGGGGCGGGGTCGCGGCCTGGAGGGGCTGCCCCTGCGCAGGAGACCCGCAGGTGAGGCCTCTGGCCTCGGTTTTCTCGCCTGTAGTATGGGCTGTACCAGAGGACCCCTGGCCTCGTGCCCGGCTCTGAAACGGGGAAGCAAATGGAGGTGCAGAGAGCGGCCTCCGGGGCAGTGCTGAGGTGAAGGAGAAGGAAGAACTTTCTAGAAACGGAGCGGACGGCAGGGCCACCTGCGTGAAATGACCAAGTGCACGGAGGAGGGGCCACAGGCTAGTTTGCCCGGCGACTCCCCTGGTGACCCGTTCCCGTGGGGTGTGGGGAGGAGGCGGGGAGATGATGGCAGAGGCTGGGGGGGAGGGGGCGCAGCGTCGAGGGACAGTTCTTTCTGTGTGTTTTATGGCCGAGTGTGGAGAGCAGAGCAGGCCGCCCACTGGGACCTGGTCCGAGCGGCCACGTGCAGGTGAGACCCGGGGCCGGCTCATCTGGTGTCATGGGGGTGGGGTGGGGGGGGGACATGTGACCCACCCTCACCTGGACCCCGCCCTCTCGATCACCCTTCTCCCGCCCGTGGGTTCGCCTCCTCGCTCCCTCTCACCGCCCAGTGTGTCCTCTCCCCTTGGCCTCCTCCACGCGTGACGCCCTGGTTGTGCTGGCGCGCGTCCTCCAGGAGCCTCCTGGGGCGGTGGCTGGGGAGCGAGTTCGTCTGAGCGCCTGCTCCTGCCTCTTCACTTTAGTCTCACGTTTGTTTGTTGACTTGGCCCAGGAGGCGGTTCCAGGCCAGAAAGCCTGTCTCCCAGGCGCATGGAAGGCCCGGCCCCGGCGGATGCCCCGTCGCGCTGGGCTCCGCAGCGCATTCCCTTCCTGTCCCGGCGGGTCCTCCGTGGGCCTGGACGCAGGGGACCGTGCTCGGCTCCCGGCTTTGTTTCCCATGAGGAGGTGCCTCCGTGTGGGCCCTGCCCCTCCGTCGCGTGGAGAACGTGGAAACTCGCTTCTGGGGAAGTTCCTTGAATGACATAATTGACGACCCTCTCGCTCTCCCACCCACACGTGACCTGTCCTCGCTCCTCCACCCTCCCCTCTCCCTTCTCTCCGCGTGTTTCGGCTTTGCATCCAGACGCGCCTCTCGCCTCGCTGCTGTCCCCCCTCTGTCGAGGCTTCTCTTGCTGTTCTCAGGCTTTAGTCTTGCAGCCGTTCTTTTGTTCCCCAAATGTCCTCCTTAAAATAGCACCCGGCTCCCGGCTCCGGTTCCGGATGCTGCTCCGGGGGCACAGACACACGTCTCTGAGGCTTTCTGCTCCCCTGGGCCGCGCCCTGGGCTGCGGGCGGCTCTTCCTCCGAAGGCTGTTTGTTCACGTGGACGAGGCCCCGCTCGGCCAGAGGGCTCCCGGCCCCGCTGGCTTGTCCCGGGGCTTCCTGAAGGGAGAGCCTCCTCTGGGGGCTGGGGAACAGTACAGGCACCTCAGGTTCTCCTCCACCCACAGGCGCAGGGGAGACGCTGGGGCTGAGCGGCCCCTCGGCCTCGCGGTGCGGATACCCCTCTGTCCCGTTCACGAAGTCCCCCGGCCCAGAGCCCCTGCGTCACTTCCCCCGAAATACACCTCCCCGCCCCCTCGCCCCGCAGGGATCTGGGGTGGGCAGCCACCTGGGATCTGGGGGCTCTTTAGGGAGCTGCTCTGAGCCGCCTGCCCCACCTGTTCCGAGCCTTTGCAGGGTCTGTTTCTCGCCCCCCTCCCCGCTTTTGGGCTCAGGACCCAGCCCCGGGAGGCCTGCTCCGCTGTCCCTTTGCGCCTGGACCCACCTCGCGGGGTTTCCTTCCCAGTTCTCCAGGTCCTCGGGGGTTTCTAGCTTCAAAACAACCTTTCTTGCTAGTGTTAGGGGGCTTGTCAGGGGGGAGCAAAAGTAGCTACGTGTGTTCAGTTGTCATTTTAGGAACTGACTCCTTGTGTTTCTGCCCTAATTATTATTGCAAAGGACTGTTCCCTGCTCCTCGCCATGTTCCCACTTTGAAAACGAGAATTCCAAATCCGACATTTGTAGGATTCTACCCACCGCCTGGTCATGAGGCCACCCTGCCGGGCTCCGTCCCCCCAGGGACCTGATCCCAGTTCCTGAGGCCACAGATGCCAACTCCAACCCACCTGCAAGGAGTCTGAGTGGACCTACTGTGTGCTGAGCACTGGCTGGTCCTGGTGGAGTTTGTGCCGTCTTTACGTGAAGAGGCCTCCGAGGGAGGCAGTGGGTGCCAGGGAGGGTGTTCTCAGCCGCGGGTCCAGGCCCCGAGCGCCTGACCGCCTGGCGACAGAGGACAGGGAACCCGTAGGCCTTGTGAGTGGGGATGTGCCGGTTCAAACATGGGGGCCGCAGAGTTCAATCCGCCGGCAGCTGCCTTGCTCAGAGACAGGGCATTTACCGGGGCTCAGCTGCAGGCCGAGCAGCTAATTCCAAATTATACGGCGCGATCCCTGCTGGCCAACAGGTCAGTGACCGGACAGGCCGGGGCCGGGCCCACAGCACCAGGCCCCTCGTCTCGGGCACCGTCTGGCCTCGGTGCTCTGCAGGGGAGGCGGGGCAGGGCGGAGGCCAGGCACCAGGCACTGGGCACTGGGCACTGGGCACCCAGGAGCTGGGCTGTGGCCCTCTCTTCACGGCTCGAATCTCCCAGGCCTCGCCAAACCCAGGTTCCCTGTCCAGCGTTGGCCTCACGTGGAAAAGCAGTTGGTCAAACAGGAGGAGGAGGTCACTGTCCAGGAGCAGCATCCAGAAGGGGAACAACCTGGGCCAGTTTCCATTTGCTTTTATTTATTTTTATTTTAAAAAAATATTTTTATTGATTTCAGAGCGGAAGGGAGAGGGAGAGAGAGACATTAGTGGTGAGAGAGAATCATGGGTCGGCTGCCTCCTGCACGTTCCACCCCGGGGACCGAGCCCACAGCCCGCCGGGCTCCACTTGTTTTTAGATTGAGGGTGTCTTAGGGTGCAGCACCCCCTCCCCCACCCGCCCACGGGTGGCGGGTTCTGGGCACTGTGTCCGTCTGTCTGTCTTTTGCTTAGAAACAGGACGGAGGCCCTGCCGGACCTGCCTCCTGCTTGGGACAGTCCGGGCCTCTGGCCTGCCTGGTGCTGGGGGCGCCCTCGCTGCCCCGCTGCCCTTCAGC